TGGCATGTGGTGCTGGGGGATTGAACCGCGGTCCCTGATGCTTTTGCTAAGCTTGTTCTAAGTAGGTGCTTTAGACCACTGAGCCATCTCTCCAGCCCGCTTCCTACATATCTTTAAAGTAAAACTTTCAAAGTCTAATCATAGTTAATCATGTCCAAAAGAGGGCAGGCCAAATAGCTGAGCCTACAAGCAGGCGCAGGAGCCAGGGCACACCGAGAGGGCAAGTGAGACGGGCGTGGTGGTGTGTGCCTGTAATCCCAGCCCTTGGGAGGCTGTAAAAAGGCGGATCACTATGAGTCCCATCTAGTAGTAAGACCCTGAACACCCTGTAGACCCTTCCCTAAACACAGAAAAAAAAAAAAGAAAAAAAATCATGTCTAAAAGAAGAAAAAAATTATTATAGCTATCATCTATGTGTTACGCAGACAAAGGTTCTCTAGAAGGATAAAATGGATTACTCTGGAAGGAGACTAGCTTAGAAAAAAAGACCGAATGGTTTTGTTCATGATACATCTTTTAAAAATCAGGCCAGCCAGATAGCTCAGTGAACTACAGTGCCTGCTTAGGCAGAGAGCAGTGGCTAGGGTTCGAACCCTGCCATGCTGTGCTGGCCTCGCCCCCGGGGGGCACGCTGAGATGGTTATTGAGACTAGGCATGGTGGTGCATGCTTGTAATCCCAGCACTTGGGAGGCTGAAAACAAGAGGACCAGCAGGAGTCCAATCTGTGTAATGAGACCCTGTAGAACCTATACTAGATACAGTTTAAAAAATGCTAATAAAAATAAAAATCAAATCCAGGGGCTACGGATTTTGCTCAGTGGTAGAATGTTTGTCTAGCAAGCTAGAAGTCCTGGGTTTGGTCCTTAGCACCAAAAACAAAAAATAAATCTCTCATAAAGGTAAAAAAACAAAAAAAACCTTCCTAAAAATAAAATCTATATATGTAAGTTATTTTAAGATATAGTTACAAAGTAACTACAAACAAGGTAAAAAGCAAAGATTTCACAATTAGGATTGTAGTGACTTTAAGATTTTGGCTTCTGCTCATTTTTATCACTTATAAGTATACTCCAATTAAAATAAACATGAAAAAAAATAAACATGGAAGATGTTTATGATTATACCAGCAATTTTGAGGAACTTACCCATACTGTGTCGTTGTCAATACTTCACCTCTCTTCTCTTTTTCAAGTTTTAATTTTTTTTTCCTTTCAATATTGGCCAGAGTTGGGTAGTTCCTAGGAAATAATAAAAAAAGTTTATTAAAAAAAGACTTCTGAAGTACAAATGTGAGCAACCAAGCAGGTCCTGAATGTGGAAATTTTTGCTCAATAATTAATAGTAAGTCATTATAAACCTTTAATTGCATGCAGAATTTTTCTAAGAGAAAAATCATAGACTATAATAATACTACTAAAAGTAGTATTGCTGCTGGTCTACAAACCTTGTTACCAGGCTGCAAGTAGATGAGGAGCTAATACTAGAATTAAAATGAATACACCATATCATATAATGTGCTCAAACTGATCTAATTAGTCTATTTAGCATGCACCCCCACAGATATGCTAAGATAAAGTTTACATATAGTCAATTACTTATGCAAATACATGCTAAGTATTCTCAAAGCTAGCAAGATGAGGAAGAGACCACAGTCTACCAGAAAAGACAGAAAAAACACAAAACAGCTATGACATGGACAAAATCAAGAATATAAAGATTAAGGGACTAAGAAGGAAAGGTTATATCAAAATGGAGAAATCTAGAAAGAATGAGACATGAAAGGAATCGGATTTTCAGTGATGGTAAGACAACAATCAGAAAAAAGTCAGGGTATCTGAAATAGAGCAAACAAGGCAAAAAAACCAAGACCTCATGAAATGTGAGACATAGCCAGAGAACAATTTTGTTAGAAACATGATATAGTTATAGGCAATTGGGCTGGAAAGGGAGAGTCAGGTCAAAATGTTTCTTGAATGGACTAGAATGTTTATATTTAATTCAGCAGGTGACAGGAAGCCACAGAAAGCTGAGAATAGGGAGAGAAATATACAAGGCCTTGATCAGATTAAATCTGACAGTAGTATGCAAGATGAATTGCTTTCTTTGCTTCTGGCAGAGCCTTGTGGAGATGTATGCCTCAGAATGATGGTGAGGACGATAGATCCCTGAAGTATAAAACGCAGGAGGGAACACACCTAGCTCTCACCACTCAACTTGGGACACTCCTCAGAGTAAATTTTGAGAAACATTAGTAAATTGTATTGTCATTGTGTCTAAAACAATTCTCTTTTTTTTTTTTCTTTTTTAAACATCTGCATTACTAACTTAAATAGCCCAGAGAATAAAAAGCCTATGGGTTTGCCATTCTGGACAACAGAAATGGAAATGACATTGAGTTAAGTGGTGAAGTAATCAGAAAAAGGCAATAAATTTCAATGACAGTGCAAAGCAACACACCCAGCCAAGAAAAATAACCTCCATAAATAAAAGATGATGAGTGTACAAGCTATAAATAAACCTAAGAGGAAAAGATCAAGGTCACTGGAGATAAAAATCTGACAGCCAGTCAGCAACATGTGACTATACTTTCAAAAAACATAGTCTAAGGTTGTATGAAGTAGACTCCGGCACTTAGAAGTGTGAAATGTTCTTCCTGTGATACTTAAAAATGGTCAGAGTGTCTCATGGCACCCTGTCAACTGGTTGAAAAGGAACACTGAGAAAAAAATAAAAATTGGAAAGGATTCAGAAAAGACTCAAGGATGATTAAGAGAGTGAAAAATAAAACCTCTGAAGAAAGATGAAAGGAACTATTTGCAGCTTCTAAAATAGCATGAGAAGTAACAATAAAATAGTTTTACAGGGAGGAGAGTATCCAGCTGTTCTCAATCTGAAAACACAATTTACATGTAGAAGCAGAAATGAGTAAAACAGTGATATTTTGCAAAGGGTCCACAGTAGCTAGGCATGGAATTCCAAGCTACTCAGTACTCACCACTACTCTCAAATTCATTTATTCTTCCCACTATGTTCCTTCCTATTTTTGTTCAGAATGTTGCAGACTGTTATTATGGTAGGACACATGCTAAACAGAAATTGGTAATTTGGTATAGCATGTGCAAACAAGCTAATGTTAAATATGTACCTTTCATGAGAAAGCATTTAAACATTTGTCATGGAAAGTGGACTTCAGGTAAGATATCAGAAAGAATTCTCTAAAATAGACATAAAAAGATGTTATGGAAGCTTCTGATGGGAACCCTTTCAAACAGCTTTCTTCTACTAGTAGATGAAAGTATTAAGTTCCTAACGTAAGAAATCTTCCAATATTCATTCCAAAGACAAATTCTTATTTTTCAGTTCTGAAATAAAACAGATCCTCTTACAAAATTTACACTGCTGTTATTCACCCAAAATTTAGCAACTTAAAACTAGAGAAAATAGAAGTATTAGAAAGCAAATTATCCCTCCAAAACAGGGAAAAAAACAAAAAACAAAACCCACGAGACCTGCCTACACACACAAACAACAATCAGGAAACTTCACTTCACCAACACACTGAGATACAAGAACAAGGAAGAATAAAGAGCTTTGGTAGAGTGTAGTGCAAGTGCTTATAATACATTTGAAATAACAAAACCTACTGAAAAAAATCATAAATTATGTCTTACACTGTACAGTACTATACAGAAGACTTACTCCTATATCTACTGGAGAATGGATGTTACAAAGTTATAAAGCTTGTAACAAGGCATATTTTCAGTTGGTTTCTCTGTATTTTATCTGCTAAAATCACTTTTCTCCCTGCAGTTCTCTTTCCTCAACAACACAAGAGCAATCAGTCCTAACATCAAATGTTTCTTTTGCACTTGTCCTTCTTTCATTTCTACTTCTTCTTTGACTCCTGCCTTGCCTACAAGTCTCCAGGGATGATCATTAATGTGCAATAGAGTCCATAAAGGGGCAAAACTATGTCAACCACTATCTCATATCACAGTGGCCACATTAATTTTCCCCAACTCTTTCCTTTTTCTCAAATTACTGCTCACTTACTGAGCTCTCCTAGGCTTATTCTCTATAAAACACAAACCATCAGCAAAACACAACAGCTTCAAAACAAGCTGTGCCACTGTATTTAAGTCTTTTCTAACTTCAAAAAGGTGTAACATTAAGAAGCTAACTATCTCTGCAAAAATTTTGAATGACCCATGGATACAAATTAAAAGGCTTTCCAGAGCCAGTGAGTAGTGCATCAGAAGAAAAACCTTACCATGGGACAGCAAATCAGAAGATTGCTACCCCACCTAGTGGACTCCCAGTATGTTGTGGTCTACTATTCAGTTTCTAAAATTGCGGTTTTGTAAACAACTCCTTACCATTCATTCTCCCTAATTAAAATTATACAGCAGTGGCATCTCAAGGTCAAGATTTAAGAAAGAATCACCTTTGGTGGGAGGATGGTTGGTGTTTTGAGGGTGACTAGTACAATGCTTTACAGTTTGTAAACTCAGCGAGGCCCTCTGAATTTTGCTAATTTGAAAACTAAGGAATAAAGACAAAGATGGACTTTCATTTAAGAACAATACATAAGGCAGAGCTTTAGTTTTCTTTCATCTCTGAAGTTTTCATCTGTGAAATCTTTCACAGGTCTTCTAACACAGCAATACACTGAGACTATCTTTCCTGCTTGTCAAAGAATAGAATGGCTTCATCACAGAGAATGAAATTCTCATAAAGACAATTCAACCAATGTAGAATTTATTCTTTTCAAATATATTTATGCATAAATATTTCATTTTAAATACTATGTGAAGTGTAAATATTCTAACATATGCATAGATTTTAAAGATACAGGACTGTTTATTTTCACATAAATCAATAGATATTTCTCTAGAACAAAATATTTCACTTAGCAAAGCTTTATAAATTGTATTACAAAAAAACAGGGAACATATATTTTTTAACATAGAAGTAACATTGTTCTTTCTTGACATCAGAGAAATGTTAAAAGTTGATTCCCAGTACTATTGTACTTTTTTGTAGCAAATGTTAAATATCACAAGTTATATATAAAATGTAAACTATGTGGTGATAGGTTATACAGTAATACACCATTTTTGTCTGTATACCAATTTTTAGACAGTAGCAGGTTGAATGTTTCTTTCCAGAACATGTTTTATTTCTACTGTGAAGACTTATGCTTTATCTGCTAAAAAGTTGTATATCCTCTCATATAAACCAACCATTGCTGCTTTGACTTAAAAAAAAAGAATTTATTCTTTTCAGAAATTCAAGTAATAACTTTTAAAACTTAGGGCTGACAAAGACAGAAAGTAAATATATTTTTGTAATGAATTTTTAAAAAATAGAGAGTGGAGAGAATAGTGTTTTTTGTTTTGTTTTTGAATGTATTTAGTTGTTACAGGGTCTCACTATACAGCTCAGACTCAGCGATCCTCCGGTCCTCAGCTTCCTTAGTGCTAGTATTACAGGAATACACCACCACGCCTGGACTCTGTGACTGGCTCAGCAACTCCTGAGAGTGGGCTGGCAAGCACGTGGTGCCCAGAATTGAACTGAAGTCCCTGAGCTTGCCTAAGCAGGCACTTTAGTCTGCTGAGCTATCTTGCTGGCCCCTTGTTTTGTTTTTGAGACAGGGTCTCAGTACATAATTTAGGCTGGCCTAAAGTCACTATGTAGCCCAGGTTGGCCTCGAACTTGTGGTGATCCTTTTGCCTCTGCCTCCAGAGTGCTGGGACTACACGCATAAACCACCCTACCTAGCAGTATAAGTATATTTTCAAGAAATCTACCAATTGAAATACTTCCTATATTTTCTAGTAATGAAACATAAAATGAAAACCACAGATATGCTATGAAGCAAGAACCTAGCAAGTTAGATAAATTCACCATGTGTTGAAAGACAATTTTAGAGAATGTGGTAAATCAGGCAACATCACAGATACAAGTGAACTTCATCCCGAATTGTTATCCTCATCATTTTAAGCTCCTCTAAAATTCAAGAATCTGTAATGTCACTTACTCCATAGATTGTATGCACTCCTTTTCCAATGCCCTTCTGATCACTACCTTTAGTCTACACTCAAAACTACAGCTAGATACCCCTGTCCTGCACAACAAGAACTACCAATAAGTAAACATTTGTTCAAGCCAATTCTTTACTCAAAATGATAGAGCAGCTTTCAAATTTTACTTACAGTTTTGAAATTCAACAAGC